CATTTATTATGGACATCTATAAAAAAGGTAAACAGTCCAGTGAAATGTATGAATAAATGAAAACCGAGACAAAATAATTAATAATTTCTAAGATATTAACTTTGGTGCAGTTTGCCTGTTTGTTTGCAGGATTAAGTAATAATTGTGTTTTTGTGTTTAATCAGAGAGGCTCATGGCTGAAGTGTCAGCAGCTGCTCCTGGTGTGGTCAAACAGGCCGTCCAGGTGATAAAGGTGACACCAAACCTCCTCCACTTCATTTAYAAATGAATAAAAAGTTCCTGGATCGACGAGCTTCACCGCCTCTCGTGTTTCCCCTGCAGTCCATCGACACCCTGCAGAAACAAGCCCAAGGCCTCTGCCAGGTCCTCCGCATGACGCCGAGCCACGCCTCCCTGCAGATCCACAGAGAGGTGCTGGGCTTCAGCAGCCAATCAGACGCTCCGCCTCCCGCTAACGGCAGGGTCAGCCAGCCAATCAAGAGAGCCGTGCAGGAGAAGGCAGCCGCAGAGAGCTACAAGAAATCAAAAGGCATCGCGGGAACGGACTGAGTCCTCCTGCTGCACGGAAAACCCCCCTGCAGGAGGTAAAAGACACTCTGCTGAGCTGCATTTTAGGAAAAATGACTTGAATGTAAACAAATAAAAGAATTCCCACACTTTTAGATGCCTTCACATTTATTTTAGATTTTGGGCTTTTCAACTCGTGCAAAACCRTAAAGTTGCAGCAAGTGTTGGTTAAATCTAAGAACCTGCAGAACCTGTGCACGGTTCTGCAGGGCCTGCAGAGTTCAGCTGAAGTGTGGCCCGCGGCTCACGTGACTTCTGTGAACTGCGGTAGCCAGGTTTCAGAAAGTTGATGTGAAACCTCCTCCTCACCGGACCCCGCGCCCGGTCCGGCACTCCCGAGTTCTGACAGAGCCGGTGGGCTGCACGTCTAGTTTGTCCTCTGAATGTCGGACCACGAAGAGTTCTGGCCGCCTCGGCGCAGCGACGGTCCGTGTGACGGCTGCACGGTAAGACGGAGCGGTTTCAGATTTGGTGGGTTTTATTCTGGGGATGTGCAAATGCGAGGGTTTAGTTTAAGGGTCTGCAACCTGCTTTGGTCCCTCTGCAGTGGCTCCTTTAAAATGAGCAAACATAACAGATTTTTTTATTTGTTCTTTCTACCCACAACACAAATCAATTTATATGCAAATGTGATCAATACTAATAAAAAAGTAAAACATGTTAGCTCATGCTATTCTGTTGCTTATTTACACTGCAAAAACTGTCCATCTTACCAAGTTTTAAAACCTTATATCAGCCAAAAAGTCTTTTTGATCTTGTTTTGAGACTGATTTACTAAACAAGAACTGATTGTGTAAGAATAATCATCTTGTTTTCAGAATGTGTAAGATNGTTATATGACAGTGACAGTCAACAAAACCAAACTCCATCATTAAAAATAAAAAACGAGGTAAATAACATAATAACATAAAAAGTAATTATAATAAAACGACCATTTCCTAAATAAAAACGCTTAGCGGTAAAAGCGGAAATTCTCGTTTTCACTTCCGGGTTGCGCCGGAAGTGCAGCTAAACCGGAACAAGAAGAAGAAAACAAATAAACAAAAGTTGGCGGTAAAGATGGAAGCCGAACAGAGCGAAACTTCACCGAACGACGAAACAAATCAGGAGTACAGAGTTCAGGTGACGTCAAAGAAGAAAGTAACGGAGCTGATCAACAGATTTAAAGAAGTTTTAAACTCGGCTTTGGACGGACAGCCCGACATTTCAGAGGAGACGAAGAGAAACTTACTGCAGGATCTGCTGCACGTGAGTCCGTTYGCAATCCGTCTGAGTTTAGCTAATTTCTAAATAATCCAATTTTTTCTTTCTGCATACCAAACCACGGTTTCAAAAAAGTTTTTCTTTATGTGGATTTGATAATTCGGCACTSAACCCCTATCAAGAACCGAAGTATTTAACTGTTAATTTGGCCTGAAAATAATATTTTTGCAACAGAAAGACGTCTGAATCTGACATTTTCGTGTTTGTGTTAAGATATAAGTAAAGTAAAAATCTAAGTACAGAAATGTGAGATGTCTGTATCTGTCCACGGGTACAGAAATCCCTCTGAGATCGGTCCACAGGTGTTTTTGTCCCACTGCTGGTGTACAAACTGCTCCAGCTGCCTCAGGTCTGACAGCTTCTTTCTCCAGATGTTTCAGTCGTCGCCACAGATGTTCAACCAACTTCAGATCAGAGACACTGTAGAACAATTCAAGTTTTAGTTTTTTGATTTGTTGCTCTGTCCTGTCAGAGTTTGACAGATCGTGCTGATTTCTGCTCGTTTCCTTTGCAGACCTTTGAAACTGCAGTTCAGGCCAATGTGTTGGTCAATGGGCAGACCTGGGAGGAGGCTCCAGATGTTGAAGGTAAATCGTGACTTAAAACTCTTTAAAATCTGGCCAACATGATAACCGCACCACCTTTATCAGTTATAAACATTCCCCTAATGAATTACCTGAAGTAAATCTCCATGTTCTTTATGGCAGAGCTTTGTTTCTTCTCTCTTCTTCACTCAGCGGACACCAACCATCTGGAAATTCTGGACGACACCATTGTTGAGACCACCAGCAGACGCTCCACGTACCCCAAAAAAATCCTCCCATATGTGGTCCATGCTCTGAAGGCTGAACGCAAAATCATGGTGTGGAAACTTTGTTTACTACAACAGATCTGACTGATTTGAATTTGACAAATATCTTTAAAGTACATCAACTTGGTTGCAAACATATGAGACCTGTCGCATCGAAATGAGGATTAAGTCCAAAATTTATATAAGGAGAAAAAGGCAAATGT